GAGACACTATTTATAGGTTACAAGAGGAAACAAAATCTAGGAATAACCTCCTAACTTCCCTAACAAAAAAAGGAGATTTATTTGCTAAATTTAAATACAAAATCTAAACAACTTCTAACTAAGTCCACATAATCTTTAACTTCTAACTAATTCAACAATAAGTATTCACTTTAAAAACACTTTTGAATTCCCCTACTATTCCGTTGTTGCCAGAGAGGAATAGTTATGGAGGCATTCTTAGGACGTATCAATGGCTGGCCAAGGAAGTTTATTGGGAAAAAGTTGAAGGCAAGAGTCTGGATGTTCGTCAGTAAGTATGTCGTTCGTCACTACCTATTCCGTATGGGGTTAGACAGGATATTTCGGTGGACTTTGTGGAAGGGTTACCAAAATCTGAAGGCTGTAATTCTTCTTATAGTCGCTGTTGACCTATCAAAGTATGCCCATTTTATTCCTTTGAAGCATCCTTCATTCGGAACTACGATAGCTTGCATTTTTATCAACAGATTGTTAACTGCAGACACTAAAGGGAGGAAGCCCAATATAAGCTGAGGCTTCTTCCCTTGATGTGGCTGCAGCTCGCCAAAATTTCTGTGGCCACTATAAGCTGGCTTTTCTATAGTTATTAAACCTCATGTTAGGCCTCCAATTACAAAGTTATATTCTAGGGAGCAGGGGAGAGAGGCTGAGCCACGAGAGACGTTAGGAAATTCTGTTAGAGGGCCGAAGTCAGTTCGATGGCATTACAGTAAATAGTAGTATGGTATATAGGCTGGGGAGTGTGAGGTAAGAGCATCTTTCATTTGGTTTTGTTTAGCTATAACGTGGAGAGGATAGGGAGCTCTCGAAATCTCACTTGGCCCTTGATTCTTCTTTGAACATGAATAATACAATCGAAGTTCTATCAGCTTATCAACTTAACTTGACCTTACTCGAATACTACAAATGAAAAGGAAGAATAACCACTCTTTTTTCCCCACAGGAAACAACTATGTAATGGACAAAATTGAAGAATTCAAGCTGAACCAAAAAAATTCAAGAGATAAAGTTCAATTTAAATTCAAGAGATAAACTAGATCAAAGAATATTAATAAAATTAGATAAATAAATAATTTCCAAATACAAAAAGTATTATTTTCAACGGTGGTTTAGTGTATCAGAAAGTTTTGGATTATGACTAAATATTTTCCAGCTTCATCACATAACTTCGTAGCTGTATAGTTTACTTGTCTCATTAGGAAAGTTTTATCTTTGGTCCCTATAATTAGTTTAGTTATAAACTAGGAAGGACAGATACGGATATGAGACACAGATATGAAACAACACAGATACAGTGACACATCATTTTCTGAAAATTTAGGACATGACAAGGATACATTTATTAAAATATAAAATTTTCTAAATAATGAATTATATTTTTTTCCCTATACTCCTTTTCTATTCAATCAAGCTAGTTGGTTTCCAAAAATAAACAATTTCTCCGATATCAGGATGGAATCGTACGCACCACTAATTATACAAACATGGAGCAACTTGAATCATAGAAATCTTAGCACTGAGAGAGAAAAAGCAAACACTGACCAAGTTTTATGAGATGAAGATCACCAAGATGTAGGTCCTCGAATTCGGAAGCTCGTTGATATGCACAAGAGATGCTTTCAGAAAGTTTTTCCAGCGCATCAAACATCCCACCACGCCCCCAGTTTCCAGAATCATCAACACAACTGTGAATAGGAAAAGATACGTAGAAGAATGAGAACAAAAAGAACTTAGAAGAGAAGAACAAAAATAAAAAGAAGAAAAGTCAGATGATAGCCACGTGCATGCAATATGTCTCCTCTATGACTAACAAGTGGCAATTTTTCTCTTCCAATAATTATGTCTAGGTAATGCTTTTTCCATGACTAATAGATGAGATTATTTAAGGATTTGTGTTGTTTAAATTTTATTCATAGTATCACTTTCTTACAATATTTTTTTTTTATAAAAAAAATTCTTTTTTATTAATTATTTAAGTCGATTTAATTTAAATACTAAATAGTTGTATCAATATTTTTTAAGGTTACGAGGAAGATGGACTACAAACAAAATCAAGGAGATAATACATTGATTATAAAACATTCTGCTGCAGGGAGAGTGACAACATTGATTGTTTATGTCGATGATATCATTGTCACTAGCAATGATGGTAAGGAACATCATAAGCTAAGAAATTGTTTGATCCATGAGTTTGAAGTTAAAGAACGTGGAAAGCTAAAATATTTTCTTGGGATAGAAGTCGCCTATTCTAAACATGACATATTGACATATTCTTATTACAACATAAAGATATGGTTAACTACTTTTTGAAACAAGAAAGCTTTGTAGCAGACCAATGAGAATGCCAAATTGATCAAAATCATGGATTATGTGCAACCGAAGAGAGTCCTCTAGTAAATAAGAAACTTACCACAGGTTAGTTGGAAAATTAATATATCTCTTATACAAGACCAGTGTATGTCGTAGAAGTGCTAAGTCAATTTATGCATAGTCCAAAAGAAATTCACCTCCCAGCAATGTGCTAGATACTTCATTATTTGAAGAACTCCATTGAAGAGGATTTTTGTTTAAGACAGTTGAGAAAATCTAAAAGTTTATATAGATGCAGAATATGCAAGATCAATACACAATAGAAAATCAAATTTTGCCCATTGTGTTTTCTCCAGTAGAAACTGAGTGACAGTAAAAAGCAAAATTTAGTTGCAAGATCGAGTTCAGAAGCAAAATTTAAAACAATAGCGTTAAAATTATATTCATTCACCAGCTTGGAGGTGTTCGTGTTAAAATTATATTTGTATAGCTCTTTCTCCGTATTTTATTTCCTTATTTTTACTTATATAATAGGTAAGTGTTTCCTTATGTATTTTTTCTATTTCATTTTTCATTTTTTTTGTTCTTCCTTGTAATTAGCACTTAGTCTACCCTTATATCCCTCATTTGTAAGTAAGCAAGAATTTATTTCGTATCGTTAGTATCAACATTCATGAGTTTCTATCTTAGAATCAATTGGCAATGAGAGTAGTAGGTCACTTATATTATAAACCCTTATTAGGTCCCTTATCATTTCAATGAGGGACCCTTGCCCCCTCAAGATGGTGCCTCTTTTTGATTCACCAATCTTGATCAGATCCCATTTTTGGATCGGATGCTCGTTTGAGTTTTTGGGCCTGGATATCATATCAATATTCATGGGATTTCATCTCAAAACAAATTGACAATAAGAAAACTTGGCAATAGCCCACTTATATTATAAATCCTAGTCAGATCTCTTGTTTTTTCAATATGGGATCCTTAGCAGTTAAATACCAACAAGATAATAAAGCAAAAAGGCACCAAGAATAACATGTACGTAATAAAATAATTGAGAAAACAAAGTAAAAGAGAGGATCATGAATATTTTTTGCCAAAGTTACAAAGGCATAAAGCTCAAACCTGAATGCGATTGTAGGCTCAGATATACAATGGATTGACGGATGTGTGCAATCTCCATAGACAAAGTGAACAGAGCCAGAATCTGAAATTAGATCACCATCAACAGGTAAGATTGGATCTTCAACAGTTAATGAATGATATCCAAGGGCATCCCATTTAGACAGTTTCTTTTCTTCTGCCTTCTTCTTTACAGCCTCAAGTTTTAGACTCTTATCTCTAGATACAGTTTTCCGGTTTCCCAACTCCATGTTTTGATTAGCACCAGATTGAGATGCTTCCTTAAACTTCTCTATCCATGACCGATATGAGACTTCATCAAGACCCGGGTCAAAATTGGCATTGGTAGTACCTTCTCCAATAGAAAGATCGCAACCATCTGATAAATTCATTGGATTAACCAAAAATTTCCCATCATCCTTGTTTGATAATTTTTTATGGCGCAGAGCAATAACTCTTTCAGCCATTGCACTAATATTTGACACCTCAAACTCTCCTGGTTTTTCAGTGTCCATTTGCCCTTGATCAAAAATATGCAACCCAAATATGATAGATCGTAAGCCACCAGTTTCATTTACTGCAATTTCTTCAGCTTCCTGATCAATATAATCATCACCTACAACCTTTTGGCTAAGTTGCAATTTCCTTTCTGCCCTTCTCATAATAACCTGCACAAATAATCCAGAATCACAAAGGACTAAGGTGACCACGTTTGTTTCAAATATTACGCGGCAGATCTTACTTCTTCGACAGATTGGGATGTAACAAGATTTATCGACAACACATGATTCATTTGACCAATTCGATGCGCCCTTTGTAAAGCTTGCTTGTCCACCTGTGGATTCCAATCTTGTTCATAGAATATAACCTACAATATCATAAACATTGATCAATGAAAAAACTGAAGTAATAATTATTACCGTTTTCATACCTGTTAATTAATAAGAAAAATAATTATTCTTACTTAAAAACTTTAAAGAGTGGATACAAGAGTATAAATAGCAGTTGGAAAGAAGAAAGAAAACGAACCCCTTATCTATTAGGATAAGTAAACACTTCTACTCTGTTTGGTACCTCGAATTTTGAAGGATTTCAAAATCATAACGGATTTCAAAAGAATTCTGCTGTTTGATACCACATGATTTTGAATGATTTGAAATACTTAGTTTTGATGGAATAAAATTATTTGTATTCCAATGTCTCATAAGTAAGAAATACATAGCCTTCTTATATAGGAGAAAGGCAAAATACATAAAAGGAATGTAAATAAGAATAGAATAATAATTAATATTTACACCTAATTACAACTAATATTCACAAATATTCACAAATAAACCAACACTCCCCCTTAAGCTGGTTTAAAGATATCTTCCATTGCTAGCTTGTCAATCATCCTGTCAAATTGTACTTTTGGTAGTCCTTTCGTCAACACATCAGCAGTCTGTTCTATTGTTGGGAGATAAGGGATACATATCACACCAGTGTCCACTTTTTCCTTTATGAAATATTTGTCAATTTCAATATGCTTAGTCCTATCATGTTGGACTGGATTGTGGGCTATGGAGATGGCAGCCTTGTTGTCCCAATAAACTCATATGGGTGCGTTCTGAGAGACTTTCAATTCTTCAAGCAATCTTCTTATCCATATCCCTTCACAAATACCATGGGCTAAGGCCCTAAATTCAGCTTCAGCGCTACTTCTGGCTACTACATTTTGCTTTTTACTTCGCCAAGTGACTAAGTTACCTCCAACAAACGAACAGTAACCTGAAGTAGATCTTCTATCTATCGTACTTCCTGCCCAATCAGCATCGGTATAAACTTCAACCTATAAATGGTTGTGTTTTTTGAACAATATACCTTTTCCTGGGGGTTCCTTTCAGATATCTTAAAATTCTATAGGCAGCTAGCTTCAAAGTGACTGGTCCTGGTGAATGCATAAATTGGCTTACCATACTCACTGCAAAAGTAATATCTGGACGTGTGTGAGATAAGTAAATGAGTCTTCCCATAAGGCTTTGATATCGTTCCTTATCCTTCACTTCTTCTTTTGCAGCTTCCAATTTCAAATTAGGTTCAATAGGAGTCTCAGCTATCTTGCATCCAAGCAAACCTGTTTCTTCAAGTAAATCAAG